GCATAAATTTCAGTTTAGGGTTTCCAATTTTTAGCTTTATTGTGGTTGATGTTTGAGCTATATATGTGCTATATTTGGATGGTATTGTGGCCTATGACTTGTGGTTGTGATTGAGGTTAAATTGAGAGGAAATTGGGTGCTAATTTTGGATGGAAAAGTAAAGAAAACAAGACGAGGTGCTACTGAAAATTTGTCTCAAAGGAACCATTGGGCAGCCGTAGGAAATCTGCTATATCTTGTTGTAGAAAAGTCGGAATTGAGTTCCGTTTGTTGCATTTGAAACTAAAATCAGAGTATTATGTTTGTTGCTTTTGAAACTAAAATCAGAGTACTATCAACAAAATTTCAGCCTTTTTCTCAATTCCCTTGAATATCTGTATTTTTTCAAAGTTGATTGAAATTGCATACCTGTTCTGTCTTGTACTGGATGAAGCAGCAATTTGTGGTTCGAATTTGACTGACTTATGGTCTGAATCTTATAAATGTGTCTTCTAAGAACTTGTAACCCTTTGAATCTATTTTCCGATGGTCTAAAGTTTATCAATTTTGGACTTAAGAATCTTGAGATATGATTTTTCAAATAGTATTGTGCAAAGCTGAGAAATTCCATTCTTTTAGAACCATTTGTACCCCACTTTAACTTTGGAGTTGGTCGATCATTTTGGGTATGGTTTATGAGTGGAAGTGAGGTTTAAATGAGAGGACATGAAGTCTTAGAAACCTTAATTTCTTCATGCATTTGGCTTTGTATTGCTAGCCTTGTAATATGATATGTGACTACAGGACTCGAGAGAGTTCAAGAGGACGAACCAGGGTTAAAGTGAAGTATTACCATTGATTTGTGAGTGTACCACTCCCATGATTTGTTGTTTAACTGGTTTATCTGTACTTGCAATCTGTGATTTGAATGACTGAACCATCTGTTTATTCTGGACGAGATGAAGGTGTACTTTATCACACTCGTTTCTCTGGCCTGTGTGACTGTTTACTGTATAAATTGGAATCTGATACTTGTGCCTGATATGATGTTGTTTGGACGTGTATCCAATGACCGTATTGTGAAATCTGAGCTCAACCTCATTGGTAGTTAACTGAATCGAGCCAGTAAGGCCTTGGTCGAGGAAAATTGACAAGCTATAGGGACTGTTTCTGGGAAATCTTTGGTAGTGGAGACTCTAGATTTTCGATATATTCGAGTATTACCACTTCTACTTCTATGTGGTGTTCGGGCCCAGCAAAAGGTATGTTTGGTGGATGGAAGTTGGTGTAAAGTGGTGCTCTACTGGATTGGTTACTTTACTTGAAAGTTGACGGAGTGTCAACTACTACTTGATCAAGCTCTGGTGAAGCAACGGGAATTTGGCTCTTGAGAGCTACCTGTATCCTTTCCATTTGAATTACTATGTTTAACTGAGGTGTTTGTTCATCTTTATATCTGGTGTTTCTATATGATTGATGAAAAGTGAAGTTTCCTGATTCTTGACTGCTTGTACTTTTGGTACCTCATTGAGCATAAGTTTACCCCTTTCCCGTTATCTTTGTTTTCCTTACAGGGGACAAACTTTCAAACCATGATTTTTGAAGAAAGGGTCGAGTCAATGTAGACATTCTTTTGTTAAGCTCTTCTATAATAGAAAACCCTATTTGTATTTTGATCAATTATCACATTTTGATTTGTAAAGTTCCAATGTATATATATCTAAGTGTTTAATCATGTGTTTCAATAGTAGTCCTTTGAGATTGTACATTTCCAGGGTTATATGAACTTTTCGTGTGTTCATTGGAAATTTAAGCGAGTGCGGAACTTGACGAGAAAAGAATGAAAATTTGGCGGGAAGCTGATGCAGGAAATCCGGCCGTATATCTAGCCAGTTCTTGGCCGGATACTTGGCCGGATTGACAGGGGAGAAAGAAAAAAATTCGTCTTGGCTCACTGCCCTGAATCCGGCCGGATATCCGGCCAACTTTTGGCCGGATTCTGACGTGGCACTTGTTCTTTTCATTTTTCGTTGGCGCATGTAATCGAAGTACTATTGCATCGTTTAGTTTGGCTAATTCAATTTCTGACAATTCATTTTCTCGCAGTTCTTTTGCACGTTTTGTAGGGTTTACGTATATTTCGGATCAGTAGTCCTGACGAGAATTGGGCAGACGGTCCTTCGAACCCTTTGGTTCGCCTTAGGGGGAGGTGGGACTGTCACAAATTGCAATCACCACTGGACTAACAATTCATTTGTTAGTTGCTTTGTCCTTCTTATATTATATATTATATTTTTTTCTTATTTTATTTTTTCAAAACAAAATTTATTTGGAATCTTTTAATAATATTTTATTATTCCCCAAACTCTATAGGTTATGAAATGGAGTTAAAAAATAGCATATTACACAATTCATTTTAAAGGCAAATATCATTCTTAATAAACTTTTGCACTTAAAATTCATAAATAAACTAGATAATTGCACTTAGATAAAATTTTATACTTGAAATTTGGTGGATTACTAAACAAATTTAGGTTGTTAATTCTTATAAGAATTAACGATTGTATAATAAATTAGACTAATTGAACATTTATTATGGCATAGTTTATTATGGTTTCAACCATATCATAAATTATGAGACCTAATATTTAAATATATTTAGTGATCCATCGGTTGGACTACTCACCCACTGATTGAGCCAATAATCCATTGACCCACCTATTTCACCGAGTTCCTCCCTGAGCTAGGTTTAATAACTATGGTTTCGACATATCTTCATGATGCTTGATGTTTGTGTTATCCAAACAATGGGCACTAAGAAATCAGCTCTTATTACTTTTCTACTCCCAAAAACATATAATGTAGATAAAACTAGAAATATTTGCATAATGGTAGTTACAAACTTAAATCCGTTTGCAGTAAAAAACATATAGTTTTCCCCTGTTGTCCCACGTGACGACACGTTGCCTCCCTATTCACCGTTCATGCTTGGGACAGACACGTGAACGATAAATAGGAGGTTGACGTGTTATCCATTTCAAGGATGGACAACACATGGGTTATTGGACTTTTTGCCATGTGGCCGAAGGCCATTGGCCACTTACTAACCACGTCAAGCATGTGGGCCCCACAATGCCATTGTTTCGCTGGCCATTGCATTATTTATTTTGTTTGTGTCCAATCATGAATTGAAAATAGACAAGGGAGGAGCAATTTTTTCGATTGTTTAGAAACGGGGCAGGAGGCAGGGGAGTATACCCTTGCCCTGCCACTCGTTAAAAAAATAATATGTATGTATATAATTATATATGTAATATTTAATTTAATTAGTTATAAACTTATAATAATGATATTATTAGTTATATATATTATATAATGGATATTAGTATATGCAATATAATTGATGTTATCAATTATAATAATAATTATACATGTCTACTAATCAAAATTATTAATTAGTTATACTAAATTAACTAATATATTTATACTAAATTCCTAATTACAAATAACAAAATAACATTTTTTTCCTCAAAAAAAAACAATAATATCTTAATAATTATATTTGTGTTAAAAGTAAAAACTTGACTACTTTATTTATATTTGTTTCATCATATTTAATTGTATTTAAATCATTTTTGTTTGATTATTTTTATGGATTTCAATTGTGAAATTAGAATGGATAATAACTTGGTGATCTGTTGATATTTTAGTACTTGATTATTTGCTAAAATTTGACTATAAAAAAAATTATATGACAACTTTTTATTAGCCCCGTGAGGACACTCACGGGGAAAGTTGGGCAGGGCGGGGGGAAGGTGGTGGGGTGGGGGTGGGATCTCCTGCCCCACCCTTGCCCCGCTGCCATCTCTAATATTTTCCAATGCATTGTTTATTGTCGCGAGGTCATAATAAGATATGTCAAGAAATTTTCAATTGTTGAGCATTAGTGCCAAAATCAACATATCTGAATGCCAAAGTTGACTTCCAATGATATTATGTAAAATGACATTTTTTGACTCTCACTTTTTTAAAATAACATTTTTCTTCCCTCACTTTCAAAAGTGTAAATTTGCGTCATTTATAAATTTAAATCGGTTAAATTTGGTCTTTACCTAGATTTCTGACTAGTTTTTGGATGAAATTTACTAGGTGCCTTGTACGCACTCATTTTTGATGAGCAAAATTGTGAAATTAAATTTCACATAATCCAATCCATAGTCCCTCATATTTTACAAAATAAAATTTTTCCTCCCTCATATTTCATAAAATGAAATTTTCATCCTCATGGATCATGTTTATGAATAGTTTTTTTTCTTTTTTTTAACCCATGTATATATCTATTTGATTTCACCTAAACAATATGAATAACATGTAATATATCTCTATTTACAATTAGCTTGTTTAGGTGAAATCAAATAGACATATACATGGATTTTAAAAAACAAGAAAAAAATGATTCGTACACATGATTAATGATGGATGAAAATTTTCATTTTATGAAATGTAAGGGATGAAAAAATTCATTTTGTGAAATGTGAGGGACGAAAAAATTGATTTTATAAAATGTAAGGGACTATGGATCAATTATGTGACATGCGATTTGACAATTTGCCCCTACAAAATGATCATGTACAAAGCACGTGGTGAATTTTTGGTCAAAAATTCATTTTATAAAATGTGAACTACGTTTCGAATTATTTTTCCAAACAAAAGGATATTATGTAATAGCTGCATCACATGTACTTAATTTTCTACAATGTTAACGTTAATATATCATATACCGCAGATCTTTGAAATCTGGTTATGACCTCAGTATATATATTTTTTAGAATGCAACTGAAATAAATGAATTTTTGTGTCAATGTGACTTCATAGATTAAAATCTAAGAGGGACAACTTAACCACAGCAAAGATCATTGCTGAATAATGGAACTTCCCTTCAACTAGATAGCTTTCTTTCTTTTCCTAGCCTTTGTTTTAACTTTATTCAAGGAATGGAGGAGATCCAAGGCAGGCAAGAAACTACCACCATCTCCTTCGAAGCTACCTATTATCGGAAATATGCATCATTTGATCGGTTCCCAACCCCATCAGGCTTTGATAAAATTAGCTCAGAAACATGGAGCTCTAATGCACCTTCAACTTGGTGAAATCTCATCAATCGTTGTATCACCGTCGCATTTGGCTAAAGAAATTATGAAGACTCATGATCTTTCCTTCACGAACCGGTTAGAGATTCTACTCAGCAAAATCATAACGTATAACAGCTCAGACATTGCCTTCTGCCCTTATGGTGACTACCTGAGGCAGGTGCGAAAGGTATGTGCTCTGGAGCTCCTTAGTGCTAAAAAGGTCCAATCATTTGGCTCTATTCGGCAAGATGAGGCTTTGCATCTTGTTAAGTCTATACTCATACGCATGTTCTACGGTTTGTAGAGCAGTGTTGGGCAAAGTAAACAAAGACCTTCACAGCAAATTCTTAAAGCTAATGTGCGAATTGGCACCCCTTTCAAGTACCTTTGATATTTCTGATCTTTTGCCTTCGTTCAGAATCACATCCCCTCCTCTCTGTCAAGAGGCCTCCATCTTAAGTGCGAATAAGCAAATTCTTAAAGCTAATGTGCGAATTGGCAAAATTCATGGCAAATTCTTAAAGTTAATGTGCGAATTGGCACCCCTTTCAAGTACCTTTGATATTTCTGATCTTTTGCCTTCGTTCAAAATTCTGCATCCCCTCCTCTCTGTCAAGAGGTAGTTGGTGAAGGTCTATCTTAAGATGGATAGACTCTTGGTCAATACAAGCGATCAGTACATCAACAACCCGCAGAGAAATATGTCCACTGGTGAATCTGGCAATGAAGATCTAATTCATGTTTTACTGCAAGTTAAAGATAGCGGTGATCTTCAAATTCCAATTACTAATGATAACATCAAAGCTATTGTGATAGTAAGCACCAGGTCCTGAATATTATGTAGTTCTTATGATTCCAATCTCTAATTTTTGCACTTTTTATTCGTTGATGCAGGATGTGTTTTCTGTTAGAACTGAAACTTCTTCCACAACGGTAGAATGGGCTATGTCCGAGATGATTAAAAATCCAATGTGATAGCCAAAGCGCAATCTGAAATAAGGACAGCCTTCAAGGGAAAGTAAATGTTTGAAGCAGATGATGTTCAAGAATTGAAGTACCTAAAGTTAGTGATCAGAGAAACACTAAGGTTACACCCTCCTCTCCCTTTGCTAATCCCTAGAGAATGCAGGGAGGAATGTGAGATTGATGGATATGTCATCCCTGTGCAAACAAGAGTCTTGGCAGTGGAAAGCGACCCGCAGTATTGGGATGATCCAGAGAGTTTTAAACCAGAGAGATTTGAAAATAATCCAGTTGATTTTGCAGGAACTCATTTTGAATATTTACCATTTGGTGCAGGAAGAAGGATGTGCCTTGGAATTTCATTTGGCTTAGCTAATGTTTATGTTCCTTTAGCTTTTCTGCTTTACCACTTCAACTGGAAACTCCCAAACGGGAAACGGCCTAGATCCCAATGACTTGGACATGTCAGAGTCAACTGGAATAACTGCATCGAGAAAAAATAAAATTCGTTTGCTGGCTACGCTATGATCCATCCGAAGAAAAGTCCTGCTAAAATCTGTAATTAAGTGTCAGGGCCGTTGCCTGCCCTCTCATCTTCTTATGGGACTTCGTTTCTTGATTTTTACTTAATTACTGTTATTGCATTTGGTTTCTGTTTAATTCTCCAACAAATGGTTTTCCTGCAAAGGGACACAATGGACATGATCAACTGTGAAAGTTTCTCATCTATTTTTGTGCTAAGAGAAGCTCCATAACATTCATCAGATGTCTTTTTTTCCATTATTATCTAAACTTAACTGTAATGTAAAAGTCTGCATCTGTGAATCTCCATCTGGACAGGAGTAGTAGATGCCAAGTAATAGACGAAAGAAACAGGTCAGAACAATCTGCAGGCTTCTTTTGAACATATTTCTTGTGAAGATGCTGTGAGATGAAATGCACATTATTCTTAGCTAGACGAGCTCCAAATCCATGTTTTCCCTGTTGAGTGGAAAAAAAGTCATGCCATCTAAACAAAAAACTCACCAAGGCAATAAAACTAAATATACATACTTTTATATCTTCAACAATCCATCCTCACATAATGATGAAAAGACAGTTGGATCTTACCAAAAATTTAAAATACCTATATAAAAAAATGCAAAACCATAGTAACTAATTCCTGGTTGGGTACTTCATAAAGATGAGAAACGTAATGTGCAAATTATTGAGAAGATAACTTAGTCTTTAAATTTCATTGAACCATAGTAGTTGAATGCAGGGTTCTTGTAATGGCCTAATTTGCTACTGCAAGTATCATTCGTTGAAATGGAAGAGTTAATTTTGTGGATCCAGATTGAACTGGCACAATCATGGTTCGTCATGGGTACTTCATGACGATGAGAAACGTAATGTGAAAATTATTGAGAAGATAACTCAGTCTTTAAATTTCATTGAACCATAGTTGTTGAATGCAGGGTTCTTGTAATGGCCTAATTTGCTACTGCAAGTATCATTCGTTGAAATGGACTAGGAGGGGATCACCGCGCGATGCACGGTGTTAATTTCATGTTGCCCAGAAAATGCCCAAATTTTCAAGTGGAGATATCATATATCGTATGCATTGCATTTAAGTTATTTGGTTATAAAATGATTAAGCTTTTAAATAAGCAATGTTGTAAGAAAATGCGAGTAAATAAAGGTTTGCATCTAACGTGGTGTCGAGAAAAAGATCAAAAAGAAAATAATTGAGGCGAATAAAATTGAAACTCAATAGTATGATTTTGCTTCATGTAGAGATGGGATGAAGTGTTGGGAGAAGTAAATGGGAGATTCAAAAATATTAAACAATGAGTAAACACTACTAATTTTTTCTATTATTCTGTGGAGGATTGATTATCTGTGGTGTTCTTAAATTTACAACGAGCATTAATTTTGATGTTGTTCAATCGTTTCTATATTGTTCATCCAATTCTTTGCATGTAACATTTTAGGGATGTAACAAGCATTTAATGCCTTTCTAAGAGCTGCCTTTCTTCATTGGCAGCACACTCCTACATTGAAGGAAGAAACCAAAACAGAATCAAACTTAAAGCAAGACCACAACTTAGAGCAGAAAATAGGTTCAAGTGGGAAAAAAGTCAAATCACCTTAAACTTCTTTTCTAGATCAGATAATTGTTTATCATTGACTGTCTGTGATTCTTCTACAATTCGGCCTAATTGTGAAACATGCGCATCCAAAGTTTTGAAAAAGTTGGCAGTTATTTCAGCAATTGACCTTGTTATCGTGACAGCTCTTTGATGAGCCTGCAGAAGATGTCAATGTGAGTAACATTAGCTGGTTCTCTCAAATTAGATCAGAGAATGGAAAGTTATCAGGCCAAGCATGTTTCTTTAGTTTCTTAAGCAAATGCCAACCTCACGTTGCTACTGTGCAAATGCAATTAGTTTGCTCTCCTGACCGTGAAGACTATTTTGAAGATCATTCAGCAGTTTATCAGCCTCTGAAGCAATACTATTGAAAAGCTGCATTTTTTGAACATTGATCAATCAAAAGATACAGAGGCAAATCATGGTTGTAGCATTCAATGTCAAGAGATACTCACCTTAGTCAGAGAAGATGAATGCCCAGAGACCTGAGAATTTAGATGTCCAAAAGTTGACTGTGAATTCCCATCAAGTTCCCCAGCTAAACTGTCAAGAGATTCTATACCAGAACCATACATGGTTTTCAACTACTTGAGGCAGCTTCGAAGCTCTTCAGTAGCCTAGCACACAAGAGAGACGTGAATGTATTGACAAACAATCTATGCAGATACAAGCTTATGCTATTCCATGTATACAATACCTGTGTCTTTGTGGATACAAAAGACTGCATATCTTCTTCCATATCCTTTAATTGTTGCTCTTGTTGTGTTGCTGAAGCTGTCACAGTTTTATGCAAGATGCGAAGCTATTGCGTTAGCTGTGATTGGAACTTCTGGACAAGAATTCTGTTTCCATCTTCTATTTTGTCCTTGTGCTCTGGATAAGCAATTATGCATGAATAACAACATTAAACTGCATGGTTTTGGGCATAATACATCCTTATTCTGTTTAGATCACTAAGCTTAGCATACAAACCAATCTTAGCAAACAAATTGGAGACATCTGATGCAGCATTCTCCAGTTCTGTTCGAAGATCAAATGCCCGCTCCATAAGTGCTTTCTCTGGTAGAAGAAGACCACATGATGTCAGAAAACTGTTCTAATAATGTCTTGATGGATTATAGAAAGATTTCTTTTACATGATGGATAGTTGTTATTAGTACATAAGGTGAGAAAAAGCAAGCAGAGAAATTCAAAAACATAATTGTGTCTAGCAAAAAAAATTCAGCTCATTGTGGGCCTCTGTCACTCTTTTGCGTTTCCTATTTAACCAAAGGCAAGTTGCACAAGTAAACAGACTAAAATATTGAAAGTAAAGGGACCTCATATCACCAGTCAAACTGGAAAAACTTAATTATGTCTATCAAAAAAAATATTCAGCTCATTGTGGCCCTTTATCACTCCTTTCTGTTTCCCATTTACCAAGGCAAGTTACACAAGCAAAAATTATGAAATGGCCCATGTATATAACATCACAGATCTCACCTAGATATTACTGAATATTAGAGTCAAATAAGAAGGAAAATTGCTTAGGAGACAGGAAAGCATTGCAGGCTAGCAGATCAGATGCAACAAAAAATCATAAATTGAAAAAAGTTATTAGAATGACTTGGTAGCCTAAGTAACAGGAAAATAATAATAGATGCATTATTTATGCAGCAACATTAGCATTTAGGACTATATGTGAACAACTTTAAACTGTGGTGAACATTGGCCTCACCAGACTTCAGAAGATTGGCCATCAGATACTTCTTTTCTTTTATTGTGGCATTAGCTTGTCTAAACCGTTCCTCCAGATCAGCCAAAGCATGCTCAGTTTCCTGCAGCATTTTCTAGAGCACAACAAAAATATAGTTGTGACATCATGAGCAAAAGAGGGGAAAACACGACGTACTATTATGAGGGCAACAAAATAAATTAATTTTATCTCAGTTTTGTCAAGTTTGTCACTTAACTCTGCTGTCAATAGCTGTTGAGATTTGTAAAGTTCCTGAAGCACCACAAATTGCTGCTCAAAAAGCATAACGTGTAATCAATCAAGTGTTGCAAGTGGCAACAAGAAAAGACAAGCTTAAAGATTCATTTCTCAAGCATACCTTGTCCCTGGATTCCACATCAAGCTCCATGCGTTCTATCTTCTCAACCATTGCCTGAAATTAGAAACAAAATTACTAATTTTTAGGGGAAATTTTCAGGTAATACATGTCATCATCAGACCAAATGACCAGATTGGGACCTTTTTCTCGGCTTCATCCTGCAGATAACGATATTTTGGTATATAAATCCTGTTTTTTTCTCTAGCAGCATACACCTCTGATGAACATAAGATTGTTAAATAGATTCAATGCAATATTGTCACGGCATGTGCAAAATTATCTAATGTGCTTAACCAGTCTGTAAACCAAAGATTTCTGTATTTATGGAAGTGTACACAACGCACTTGCATGAACAGACATAGACAGAGCAATCAACAAACCTTGCTTCAGTCTGTCAATTTCAGAGTATAGATCTTTAATCATTGCAGATTTCATCATCTTTTGATTAATCTGAAATCGCAAGCAAACCAACATTTTTTAGCAGGATATAAATGAAGACAGTCACAAACCCTATGAAGGAACACAATAGGAGAAACATAGAAGGAAATCAATACATGTAATGATGAAAGAGCTTTAAGAGCTCTTAGAAAGGCATGTAACATTTTAGGGATTAAATGCTTCTAGAAAGCTTTAAGAAACCACCATAACTCATACTTTCTGTCAAACAGCACTAGAAAAAATGTTTACAGAGGAAAACATTGATGTTCATGCCTATTTTTAGCTAAAACCTAATAAATTCATCTTCCTTTCTATAAAAATAATAGTATGATCCAATAAAATAAAGGACAAAATAAAAACTTCAAGTGATTTGAGAGTAGAGACTGAAATAAAAAGGACAAAGTTTTTATCGGCAAAAAATAAATAAACAAATAAATCAATAGATAAATAAAGCAGAACAGACCTTTGGAGGACAAAAAAGGATGGAATATATCCACAAGTACTTGCATTTGCATCCCATAAAAGTTGTCATCTTTTTCCTGCAAAGATAATACTATAAAAATTAGGAAATCGGATAAATAACACATAAAATAAAATAAAAAATCTTAAGATATAAAGATTAGAAGATCAAAGTTCTTATCGCTAAGAAAATAATTGAGTAACAGAGATATTAAACCGAGCTTTATTAATTTTT